CTGCTATTGACCAAGCCATAGATGATGGTGTTGATATAATCAATCTTTCGGCTGGTGGCAGTTATGTTGTCACTCCTGAAGGAATATTCACGGATGAGGTTTCCATTGGGGCATTCCATGCAATTGCTAGAAACATACTTTTAGTTGCCTCTGCAGGGAATGATGGACCAACTCCAGGATCTGTTGTCAATGTGGCTCCTTGGGTCTTCACAATTGCTGCTAGCACAATAGACAGAGATTTTAGTAGTACTTTAACCATTAGCCAACCCCGAGAAGTGCGAGGCCATCATACACATGCAAATCCCACAAACAGTAAAGGAGGTGCAACGCCTGGCCGGACGGCTGGTCTCACTGTCCTGGTTTATCCCCAGAAACATACTTTTAGTTGCCTCTGCAGGGAATGATGGACCAACTCCAGGATCTGTTGTCAATGTGGCTCCTTGGGTCTTCACAATTGCTGCTAGCACAATAGACAGAGATTTTACTAGTACTTTAACCATTGCTAATGGTAACAATAATCAACAAATCACGGTATCATTCATCTTCTATTTCATAAGTGTTTAGTTTAAGTCTTTAACAAAAACTAATTTTAAATTATTTAAATTCTTTATTATAAGCTAAATTATGAAAATACCACCTACATCTCTAAATTTTTGAAATTTATTTTCTTTTTTCTTTTCACTTTTTCCTTTTGTTTTTCTTTTTCTTTTGACATCTAAACGTAAGCTTATTGTTGTATATGCATTTCTATTATACTATAGGGAGCGAGTCTGTTTGTGAATTTGCCACCCAATCAGGCCTTTTCTCTGATCCTTGCCACCGATGCTAAGCTTTCTAATGCCACATTTCGAGACGCGTAAGTGAAAAATCTCAAAAGCTTTTCATTGAAACACGTTTGTTAAACAGATGTTTCTTACTTTCTTCTTTATATGTATATGTTGGTGCAGTCAACTTTGTAGGCGTGGAACACTTGATCCTAGAAAAGTACATGGAAAAATAGTGTCATGTGTTCGAGAAGGAAAAATAAAATCAGTCGGTGAGGGTCAGGAGGCTCTATCTGCAGGCGCCAAGGGAATGATTTTGGACAATCAACAACAAAGTGGGAATACACTTCTTGCTGAGCCTCATGTTTTGTCCACTGTCAACAGGCCCAAAAAACATGGAAAGACAAAGCCCGGTCTTTCTGACCTAACTGCCACGTAATTTTATACACTTCTCGCACACCACTTGTTAGAAATCCTTTTAACCTTTCCAAATGACACACTTCAAAAGTTTTTATGTACACCATTTGTTTTGTAGGGACTCTATAAGCTTAGGTTCTACAATAAAAATGTCCCCAGCAAGAACATTGTTTGGAAGCTGCTATTGACCAAGCCATAGATGATGGTGTTGATATAATCAATCTTTCGGCTGGTGGCAGTTATGTTGTCACTCCTGAAGGAATATTCACGGATGAGGTTTCCATTGGGGCATTCCATGCAATTGCTAGAAACATACTTTTAGTTGCCTCTGCAGGGAATGATGGACCAACTCCAGGATCTGTTGTCAATGTGGCTCCTTGGGTCTTCACAATTGCTGCTAGCACAATAGACAGAGATTTTAGTAGTACTTTAACCATTGTTAATGGTAACAATAATCAACAAATCACGGTATCATTCATCTTCTATTTCATACATGTTTAGTTTAAGTCTTTTAAGGAAAACTAATTTTAAATTATTTCAATTCTTTATTATATGCTAAATTATGAAAATACGTACCACCTAGATCTCTATATTTTTTAAGTTTATTTTCTTTTTTCTTTTTCACTTTTTCCTTTTTTCTTTTTTGACATCTAAACGTAAGGTTATTGTTGTATATGCATTTCTATTATACGAGGGGGCGAGTCTTTTTGTGAATTTGCCACCCAATCAGGCCTTTTCTTTGATCCTTTCCATTGATGCAAAACTTGCTAATGCGACATTTAAAGATGCGTAAGTACAAAATCTCACTAGCTTAATTTTCTTCAAAATTGTCCTTGCATATAACATACGGGTTCACAATAGCAACAAGCTCTTATTTATACATACATATTCGTGCAGTCAACTTTGTAGGCCTGGAACACTTGATCCCACAAAAGTAAATGGCAAAATAGTGTCATGCACTCGTGAAGGAAAAATAAAATCAGTTGCCGAGGGTCAGGAAGCTCTATCTGCGGGCGCCAGAGGAATGGTTTTGGGCAATCAAAATCAAAATGGGAGGACACTTCTTGCTGAGCCTCATGTTCTCTCTACTGTGACCCGACTTGCAATTTATGCAAATACAACGCCGAGTGCTTTTCACAGAACTGCCACGTAATTATATATATATATATCCAATAATCCACAATGGTCGTGCCCCTCTGCAAAAAGATATGGGCAGCGTCGAAACTTGCCACGGGCCCGTCGGATTCAACATCGCCTGATCGGCCGCACTCAAGAAGCCCTGCGGAAAAACGCAAGAACACTCCTTGGGAGAAGGCCAGCTCCAGTTATGGCTTCATTCTCATCTAGAGGACCCAATTTGATTCAGCCATCAATACTCAAGGTGCTACACATGATTATTACTATTAATATTGGATTTGTAATATATCGACCATATATATGTATATTTCAGTGAGACTCTTTCTATCTTTTTGGTTCCAGCCAGATGTAACTGCACCTGGTGTGAACATACTAGCTGCATATTCACTATTTGCAAGTGCATCGAACTTGCTAACAGATCTGCTATTGACCAAGCCATAGATGATGGTGTTGATATAATCAATCTTTCGGCTGGTGGCAGTTATGTTGTCACTCCTGAAGGAATATTCACGGATGAGGTTTCCATTGGGGCATTCCATGCAATTGCTAGAAACATACTTTTAGTTGCCTCTGCAGGGAATGATGGACCAACTCCAGGATCTGTTGTCAATGTGGCTCCTTGGGTCTTCACAATTGCTGCTAGCACAATAGACAGAGATTTTAGTAGTACTTTAACCATTGTTAATGGTAACAATAATCAACAAATCACGGTATCATTCATCTTCTATTTCATACATGTTTAGTTTAAGTCTTTTAAGGAAAACTAATTTTAAATTATTTCAATTCTTTATTATATGCTAAATTATGAAAATACGTACCACCTAGATCTCTATATTTTTTAAGTTTATTTTCTTTTTTCTTTTTCACTTTTTCCTTTTTTCTTTTTTGACATCTAAACGTAAGGTTATTGTTGTATATGCATTTCTATTATACGAGGGGGCGAGTCTTTTTGTGAATTTGCCACCCAATCAGGCCTTTTCTTTGATCCTTTCCATTGATGCAAAACTTGCTAATGCGACATTTAAAGATGCGTAAGTACAAAATCTCACTAGCTTAATTTTCTTCAAAATTGTCCTTGCATATAACATACGGGTTCACAATAGCAACAAGCTCTTATTTATACATACATATTCGTGCAGTCAACTTTGTAGGCCTGGAACACTTGATCCCACAAAAGTAAATGGCAAAATAGTGTCATGCACTCGTGAAGGAAAAATAAAATCAGTTGCCGAGGGTCAGGAAGCTCTATCTGCGGGCGCCAGAGGAATGGTTTTGGGCAATCAAAATCAAAATGGGAGGACACTTCTTGCTGAGCCTCATGTTCTCTCTACTGTGACCCGACTTGCAATTTATGCAAATACAACGCCGAGTGCTTTTCACAGAACTGCCACGTAATTATATATATATATATATATTGATCTCTCACATCACCACCTTTTAAAATCGTTAACATTTGCAAATGACATGATACAAATTAAAGAAGTGCTCCATTTTTTATGCACACATGGACGTTTCGTTATACAATTATTTTGCAGGGACGACCCTATAAGCTCAGGTGCAACAATAAAAATCTCTGGAGCAAGAACACTCCTTGGGAGAAGGCCAGCTCCAGTTATGGCTTCATTCTCATCTAGAGGACCCAATTTGATTCAGCCATCAATACTCAAGGTGCTACACATAATTATTACTATTAATATTGGATTTGTAATATATCGACCATATATATGTATATTAAGACTTGCCGCCATAACCACCAGCCATCAAGAAAACACAAGGAAACGGAAACGAGGAGCAAGCAAAGACGAGACGTGCGCAAGAAGCTGAGAGACAGAAAAAGAGTAAAGCGAAAAGGGCAAAGGCGCGAGAAAGGGAAAAGTCTCTCCCCGAAATTCAAAACCGCCAGGCTACGTGTCGACCATGGGGCATGCCTGACAAAACATTAAATGCAAGCCATCATCGCTTAATCGCCATTTTCTTTAGTGCGTCGCCCGCACGTTTCAGAAGTGAACAGCCGCGCCACGTGGTGAAGCTCCAGATAGCATACGCACTAAGTCACTCCCCCTCTAGCAAGCCCGGTCTTAACTCCTCAACCTACGGCTTTCGGAACTCGGGGGGCTAGTGTACTGGCCGCATCCCGCATCCGGGCTTTAAGCCCGGATTAGCGAGACAAAGGTCATACCAGGCACGCGCTGAACAATAACAGCCCGGAGCCTGGATAGATCACACCCGAACCCGGGGACCTTATCTCAAGCCCAGGGCCCAATACAACCCTAAACCACCTCAAGGTACGTGCATTATATATATGAGACTATTATTCGTGCAAACCCTAACTTTGACATCAGAGTCTCTTTTGCAGGTACCACCCCCATCTTGGAGCATCAGCGTACCAGTGAAGGAGGCTCATCAATCTTACCTGGCGGATCAGCTCCACAGCAGATTTCCAGTAAGAACACATTGTATTTGAGATAACAAATTACATTTGTAAAAAAGAAATATGTTTTTTAAGAAATAGTTTCTCTTATAAAGTTGAAAATTTTGAAGTTTATAATTATTTCTTAACGATTTTATTAAAGTTGATTTAATACATAAAAATTAATTTTTGTTATTGCATTAAAAAATTAAATATTTTAAAGTCTCTTTTCACTCAATTTATGTAAATAAAATTTCATTTTGAGTATAATCAATACTAATAATAGCAATTAATCCTTTATATAATTAAATATTAAAATAATCTAGTTTTTACTCTGATAGATTACTCTGATAGATAAGTGTGAGAGGAAAGAAGGGCCTATATATATACTAGTATATGGATATCCATTCTATAGCAAATTTGTCCATCTCACAAGCAATTCCCAAGACACTGGAAAAGAATGGGAAGCTCCATTTTTGGCCATAAGCTTATCCTTTCATCTTTTTTTCTTTTCATTTTCCTTTTGGGAGCCGTTCATGGCCGCAGAAAGGCAAGCTATTGTTGCTCATTTATTTATGAGTTTCTATGATGAAATTATGATGATGATTTGTTTGTGATGTTGCTGAATTTGCCATCATCATGTGGATCTCACATTTCACCTATTAATCGTTGGATTAGTTTTGTTTACAGTGTTACATTGTATACTTGGGAGCTCATTCTCACGGTCCCAGCCCTACGTCTCTTGACCTCCAAATTGCTACGCATTCTCATCATAATTTACTAGCTTCAATCTTCGCAAGGTATAAACCTCATGGAATTAAGTTTTTCATTCTGATGTCTAACATACTCTTTTAGAAGTTAATGAAAATTATAAATTATTTTTTGTGAAGTCCACGTCATATATTTAAGAGTAAAATATGTTAACTTCTCTCGAGAAATAATAGTATTATATTATTTTTTTTATTATATTAAAATATATAATTTAGTTCATTTAACTTAATATTATTAATATAACTTACACTCTTTTCTTCTAAAAGATGTAAGTATTAAATTATTCATCTTTTATGTGTTAAAATATAAAATAAATTATACTTTTATCTATTAGAAGACATTTAGTATGCATAATGTTCTTACTTTCTTGGAAACCTTAAATAAAAAATCAAGGTAGGCTCTCAAGAATATAATTTCTCGAGAATCATTTTTATTTCACTATTTCACACAAACATTCTCACAAGGAAGGATAAAAATCCAACTTTTTTGAGTTAAGAAATTTTTTATTTTTATGTATATATAAAAACCATTATATCCCTTTTAAAATAGAAAATATCTCTCCTTTTATCTCTCTCTAAAAAAATAATCTTTATAAGATTTAAAAAATTATTTTTAATTTAATTATTCATAAAAAGTATACTTTTAGTTAAAATTTATTTAAAATATTTTTATTTCATTGACATTCATTCATTCACTTGATCATGAAATTATAAATATATATATATATAATTAAATTCAATTTAATTTATTAAAATGATAAATAAAATAGAAACTATTTATATATATATAATAAAATAACATATATATAAATATTAAATGTTATATTTATTATATTTTATTTAATAATAGATTTTAATATAAATATATTTATTTAAAAATTATATATTTAACACACGTATTTTAGCATTACGTTAATTAAATATAATAAGCAATGATTTATCATAAAACATTAGTTTATTTAAATATTACTAAAAAATTGTATTAGTAACATCAACTAAGTAATATTTTTTTTTACTGAAAATTCAATAATACCTTAATATTTATATATTAATTTTAATATATATAACTAATACTATATAATAAAAATAATATTTCATTTAAATGTTTATAAAAATATTATCTTAACTATTAAATAGTATCTCAATACTTGTATTTGATTTTACTATACTTATATATATTATTTTTATTTTGATATATAATTTTAAAAATATTTTGTAAAGATAATAATAAAAATCAATTTTTTAAAGTTATATAGTTAATTTTTAAAAGGTTCATAATAATTTTTAAATTAATAATTAAATGTGTAAGTTGAGAGATAAATTGTTAAAGTGTAACTTGTTTGAATTTGTTAAGAAAGAAAATGCTTATCTCACATAAAAACTAAGAGAGAGTAGTATAATCTTTACATCTCTTAAGATATGTTAATGTAAAAGATATCTTGATGATAATTTTTTTAATGGAAGTTAACAAAATTAAAAAAAAAAAAAAAAGAGATGAAATATCATGTATTAAAATCTGTCAAGAAAAAAGACTTTAATTTTTAATATTAAAAAATGACAGTGTAATTAATATTTATATTTATCAAAGAAGAAAAGCGTAATGTACTCTATATTTATTGAATCATTCTCTTCCTTTTATTATTTTCAGTAAATTTTGGCCAATGATAGAGTCTGTTATTGACATTTTACTTGCATGTAAGCATTTTTCATTTATTAGTCCTTTTATTATAGTACTTGTCATGGTCCCCTTATATATTATTAAAGGATATCATTGCGATTGACTATTTTTAAGAAACTCGAGTACTTCTTTGAAAGTGCCAACATGCCTTTTTGTTTTGAGCAATGATTCTAAATGTTTAAATGATCAGACAATAGAAATAAGTGATTTTACATTATATTTCTAACATCTCCTTTCTCTCCGTACCTTTTTAAAATTGAAGTATGTAAGCTACACACAGTTACAGGTATACTTATTTTTGTTGAAATTAAACTTCTTTTCTATTAGATTGACTCAAAGTTATTAAATAACCGTGGGTGATAATTAGGGAATTATAAGAATACATTTGATTTTCTAAAATAACATAATATTAAATAATATTTGTGCTATTAATAAGGATAATATATGTTTTTGTTTATTATTTTTAACAAATAAAAAATAATAAAAGATAAAAAATAATAAAGTAGGTAGTTATTATTTTTAAAGAAGGTAATTATTTATATTTTATGCATAATTTTTCTTATTTAATCCTTAATCATATATTGATAGAAAAAAATATAATATAAGAGTATAATTGTCTTTAAAATATATATGGACTGAAATATCTCTTTTATAGATTATTATAGGTAAAATTATAAATACTCACAAAATCACTTATTTCTCATTAACTAAATATCTCACAGTCTTAATTTATATGTTTAACCACACTAACACCATATATATTATCTCTCTTATTTATTATTTTTCTTCTAAACTGAGAGTAAAGTAGTGTCTCTTTTCACCTAGTAACTATAATTATTCTGTTTTATTTAAGAAAAATAATAAAAAAAATCATGAAACCTGAACAGCACAAATAAAACATAATAGGTATTAGAGTATAATTTTGACATCATTTTAGTTTTCATCAGAAAATGTTTGTTATATAACTTAAGCATTACACGCCCTAAAAGCAAGTAATTAGTATATATAGATGCTTTGATGTTATATAATACAAACTGTCTTAAAAGTTGAAGTCTATTAGAAAAAGAAACAAATAGTTTTACAGTGAATTGTAGATGACATTTAATTCTTTGCCAGCGAGGAGAAAGCGAAAGAGGCAATTATTTACTCATACAACAGACACATCAATGGCTTTGCCGCGCTACTTGAGGAGGAAGAAGCTGCTGATATTGCACGTGAGCATATATGCTTCCATTGTAATTACCTTTCAATTAATTGATGACACAATTAATATCAATTTGGAATAATGGTGCAGAAAACCCAAATGTGGTGTCTGTGTTTTTGAGCAAAGAACATAAATTGCACACTACCAGGTCATGGGAATTTCTTGGACTACGCAGAAATCGGAAGAACTCTGCATGGCAAAAGGGAAGATTTGGTGAAAATACAATAATTGCTAACATCGACACGGGTAAGCTTTGCTATCTTATCTTACTATTTACTGTACTCTAGACAACTAGACATGTTAAATTTGGGGGAAAAAACAATTTAAGTGAGTAGCCGGGTAAAAATATTAATCTCATTTGTATATATAAAAAATTTAACTTCACAATGTGCGTCGAATACATATACTAAAGTGGATAAAAAAAAATTAAGTACTTTGCGTAATCTATTTAAATTTGTTAGTTCAGCAATATTCTATTTTTTTAAAATACTTTCCATAAGGGATGGCAAAAAGGAAAAGGAAAAAAAACATACGTAATGTGATTTCTCATAGTAACAAAAAAATATGTGACATATCATATTTGGCAATATATATGTAATTTGACTTCTCATATGTAAAATAAAATGTGACATATATTTGGCAGTGTATATGTAATGTGATTTCTCATATGTAACAAAAAATATGTGACATATCATATTTGGCAGTATATATGTAATTTAACTTCTCATATATTTGGTGGTATATGTAATTTGACTTTTCATATTTTTGGTAGTATATGTAATTTGACTTCTCATATTTGATATCAGATGCATTATGCATGTAATGTAATACGACTTCTCATATTTTTTAAACAAAGTTTTTTTAAAGAGAAAAAGAAAAGGAAAATCCATTCAAAGTTTTGTTTTACAAAATATGTAATCACTTTTTTTTTTTGCCAATAAAAATATCCAACTTTTTCACACCAAATCATCGAATATAATAATAGAGTAATAGTTTTGATAAAGACTCCACATTTGAAGGCAAGAATCACCGATAAATTAAGATGGAAAAAAATACTGTCTATAGATCTTCATAAATAAAATCTGTCATAAATAATAAATAAATAGTCTAATTAGATAGCTACTCCTTATAAAGAAATTGAGGATGCATAAGGTAATATACATACACATAAGTATCCACCAAAAAAAATTATCAAGTAAAATTCTTCTTCAAGTGAATACCCATTAATAAAGAAAATTCTTACGGAGTACCCACTAAGTAAAATTCTTCTATACGGATATCTAAGTTGTTTTTAACAAAACATTATAACAAATATGAAAGTAAATGTTTCGATCATTATATTTTTGAAAATAAAAAAAAAAAGTTAAACAAACATTCTCACGTAATTTTCTAGAATAATATGTTTGTGTAGATGTTCTTTTTGAGGAGTTAAAATTTAAAAACGATAAAATTGTTGAATTTATGTTAAGCTATATATTGTTTGGTCATTGAATTTTGTTTTTGGCATATATACAAGAAAACTAGAGCTAGAGAAAAAGAAAAATGAATATGAGACCCACAATAAAGTTTTTTTTCTTCCCATTTTGGAAAGAAAATAAATATAAAGAAATAAATGTGATAAACTTACAATTTTACCCTTTGCGTCTACATTAAATAAATAAAACAATATTATTATTTTATTAAATTTGTAATTTTATTTTACCAAATGAAATAAATAATTTTAATTTTTTTTTTAAAATTTATCCTAATATTTATTTTGAGTTTTTATTGGTTTTATTTATTAATACTTATTTTTATATTTTTTTACTTAAAAATATTTATGTCATATATATATATATATATATATATTCCTTTCTTTCCTCTCACTTTTTCTTTCTCTTTTCATTCTTACTAAACAACCAAATAATTATCTAATTTTCTATTTATTTTCTCTTCTTCTCACTTTCTTTTCTTTTTTTTTTTGTTCTTTTATCTTTCTTCCATTAATCAAACAAAGTGTAAACGTTATTTTAAATAGAAAAGAAAATATATTAGTCAATAAATGGATATTACAAGAAATGTTACATATGATAATATACACAAATTTCATTATAGATATAATATGTAGATATAAATATATTTGATATATATTATATATAATATTTTAGTATTGATTTTTGAATAGAATTTAACCATATATATTATATATCTATATAGTACTTACGCTTTTTAACAATTATAAAAATATAATTTAAAATATAATAAATTTTTAGTAATAAATATTATGTCATAAGTATTATGATAAAATATAATGCATAGATTTATTAGATTGGTTCCCTCTTTGAATCGAAACGTATCCTAGATCTTGGTCACTAATAAAAAAAGTATATTATATTTCTTTTAAAAATTAAAACACTAAATTAAATTTTTAATAATATAAAAATTAAATTAAATAAGAATAAAAAATAATTTAACATAAAATAAATTATATGAAGTGTTACAAATCCGTATTGGTTAATTCTAATTTGGTCCTTAATAGGTGTTTGGCCTGAATCCCAAAGCTTCAGTGGAAAAGGATTTGGTGACGTCCCATCAAAATGGCGCGGGGGTAATGTTTGTCAAATTAACAAACTTCGAGGTTCTCGGAGAAATCCATGCAACAGGTTAATTTTCTCCTTAACCCTTTCTTTGTTTATTATTTAAGAAGGATTGAATTGAAATAGTAGAGAATAAATTGACGAGAATTGAATGATATAAATAAATTGCTGTCGTTTAATTTATTTATTTTTTAGAATTTTGCAATTGACTAATTAGAAAAGAAATAACAAGTAAATTGAGATTAATTTTGTCGACCTATTAAACTTTATTCCTATCATGAGAAGACGTAATATGCAGTTGATTTTGATTTTTTATGTTTAATTTCCGTGTGTACCCTATCTGACCTAAAGTACTTGTTGCTTGGCTACCTTGTATACATTGTGCACATAAAACTTGTCAATGCATGAGCCATGAGGTATATTTAGTGTATTACTTGTATGCGTGGTGCTCTTTTATGTATGCATGGTACGGTAAATTACAAGATAAAGTTATAAAAAATAAAATTAATCATAAATTTTCACCTATATTGGTTTTTTATTTTGTTGTTAGAAAGCTGATTGGAGCAAGATTCTTTAACAAAGCTTTTGAGGCATATCATGGCCAACTTGATCCGTTGCTACATACAGCACGTGACTTTGTAGGGCATGGTACCCATACTCTATCAACTGCTGCAGGCAACTTTGTTGAAGGGGCAAGTGTTTTTGCAGTTGGCAATGGCACTGCAAAGGGGGGGTCCCCAAGGGCTCGAGTTGCAGCTTATAAAGTGTGTTGGTCTCTAACAGACCCCGCCAGTTGTTATGGTGCGGATGTGTTGGCTGCTATTGACCAAGCCATAGATGATGGTGTTGATATAATCAATCTTTCGGCTGGTGGCAGTTATGTTGTCACTCCTGAAGGAATATTCACGGATGAGGTTTCCATTGGGGCATTCCATGCAATTGCTAGAAACATACTTTTAGTTGCCTCTGCAGGGAATGATGGACCAACTCCAGGATCTGTTGTCAATGTGGCTCCTTGGGTCTTCACAATTGCTGCTAGCACAATAGACAGAGATTTTAGTAGTACTTTAACCATTGTTAATGGTAACAATAATCAACAAATCACGGTATCATTCATCTTCTATTTCATACATGTTTAGTTTAAGTCTTTTAAGGAAAACTAATTTTAAATTATTTCAATTCTTTATTATATGCTAAATTATGAAAATACGTACCACCTAGATCTCTATATTTTTTAAGTTTATTTTCTTTTTTCTTTTTCACTTTTTCCTTTTTTCTTTTTTGACATCTAAACGTAAGGTTATTGTTGTATATGCATTTCTATTATACGAGGGGGCGAGTCTTTTTGTGAATTTGCCACCCAATCAGGCCTTTTCTTTGATCCTTTCCATTGATGCAAAACTTGCTAATGCGACATTTAAAGATGCGTAAGTACAAAATCTCACTAGCTTAATTTTCTTCAAAATTGTCCTTGCATATAACATACGGGTTCACAATAGCAACAAGCTCTTATTTATACATACATATTCGTGCAGTCAACTTTGTAGGCCTGGAACACTTGATCCCACAAAAGTAAATGGCAAAATAGTGTCATGCACTCGTGAAGGAAAAATAAAATCAGTTGCCGAGGGTCAGGAAGCTCTATCTGCGGGCGCCAGAGGAATGGTTTTGGGCAATCAAAATCAAAATGGGAGGACACTTCTTGCTGAGCCTCATGTTCTCTCTACTGTGACCCGACTTGCAATTTATGCAAATACAACGCCGAGTGCTTTTCACAGAACTGCCACGTAATTATATATATATATATATATTGATCTCTCACATCACCACCTTTTAAAATCGTTAACATTTGCAAATGACATGATACAAATTAAAGAAGTGCTCCATTTTTTATGCACACATGGACGTTTCGTTATACAATTATTTTGCAGGGACGACCCTATAAGCTCAGGTGCAACAATAAAAATCTCTGGAGCAAGAACACTCCTTGGGAGAAGGCCAGCTCCAGTTATGGCTTCATTCTCATCTAGAGGACCCAATTTGATTCAGCCATCAATACTCAAGGTGCTACACATAATTATTACTATTAATATTGGATTTGTAATATATCGACCATATATATGTATATTTCAGTGAGACTCTTTCTATCTTTTTGGTTCCAGCCAGATGTAACTGCACCTGGTGTGAACATACTAGCTGCATATTCACTATTTGCAAGTGCATCGAACTTGCTAACAGATACTCGTCGTGGGTTTCCATTCAATGTATTGCAAGGAACTTCTATGTCTTCCCCTCATGTCGCTGGCATTGCCGGACTTCTCAAAACACTTCATCCTAATTGGAGTCCTGCTGCTATTAAATCTGCAATTATGACCACAGGTTCGGATCTCTCTCAAGTTTTAAATAGCTGTCGCATGAACCTTCATGCACAGGAGTAAATATGTGTGTTTCACTCGTAATACGTGCATGCCTATTTTCTTTTCTGCCAAAATTTCTAAATTCCAACTTGTTTAAGTATCTATCTATCATGCTCCAGCAACCACACGGGATAATACAAACAGGCGAATACAAGATGCTTTTGCTAAAAAAATGGCAACTCCCTTCGCTTATGGTTCAGGGCATGTTCAACCTGAGCTTGCAATAGATCCTGGGCTTGTCTACGATCTAGACCTCATTGATTACTTGAACTTCTTATGTGCTTCTGGATACAACCAACAACTCGTTTCCTCACTCAATTTCAATAGGAGATTCACTTGTTCAGGCTCTCACAAAGTAACAGACTTGAACTACCCTTCAATCACATTGCCAAATCTTGGCTTAAAAGCTGTAACCATTACCCGCACAGTCACCAATGTTGGGTCGCCAAGCACATACACCGCAAGTGCTCAATTGCCTGGATATAACATTGTCGTTGTTCCAAATTCGTTGAGTTTCAAGAAAATTGGTGAAAAGAAGACGTTTCAGGTTATTGTGCAAGCAAGGAATGTAACCAAACAAAGAGGCTATCGATTCGGAGAATTGCAATGGACAGATGGAAAACATATAGTAAGGAGTCCTATTACTGTTAGGCGCAAATGAAAAATTCTTTTGGAGTTGGTTGTCTTATGATCCTTGTCTTATAATTAGGTTTGTGTGGATGCCTAAGTTTCACTTCATATTAAATGTAATTAGGTTTGACTTGTTTATCAACAAGATTAGAAAAAATATATTTATAATTTTGAGTCAAAGATCTGGATTCAATTATTTTAAGAATGTGTTTATATAAATTTATTTTATTTAATAATTTATATTTTATATTAAATTTTAACAATCTAATTATTGAATTAAAAAATAAACTTATAAATGTGTCGTAGAGTTAATATCAATATATAAAAATAAACATATAACCGTTGAGTCGTTGACAGTTTATAAATAGCCACAATAACTTTTTATATTTTTTTAACAATACTGACAGTTAGATACCCGTCACAAATTGTTAAAACCAATTAAAATAATTACAATCGATTAAAATATGTTACGGCGGATATAAATTACATGAAATGATTTTTATTATAAAAAATAATTATAACATTATTTATCTATTTATTATTTATTATTTTTCTTTTCTCTTAAATTGAACGACTAAATTTTTATATTTTTAAAATTTTGATTCTTTTTATTTTTTCTATTTTATTTTTCACTTGTTTATTTCCTCTTCTGTATAGACGGAACCTGTGTTCACACAAAGCCGTTCACTTTCTTTTTGTTTTCTTTTCCATCACAACAATACACGCCACCCTAGTTTCTTTTTCTATCATGAATCTCCTCCGCTTTCTCTCTTCTCCTTGTCGAGAATTCTCTCACCACCCTTTCTTCTTCTACCATGTAAAGCCATATCAAAAATTGGAATAAAACAAAAATTTATATAAAATTTATTAAATCATTAAATCTCACGTAGAATGTAGTTAATAGATATTATTTAAAAATTATACATAACTCATATTTTCCGTATAATGAAAAATTATGTTATTATTAATAAATAATATAAATGTATTTCATATTTCACTACTAGAATTTTTTCTATTACCTAAGAATTTTCCTAGGAATTTTTCATTAGGAAATAAGTTTTTTGCGAATTTTTCTATGAGTCGGTCGGTCAAATTCCAGTCGTCGTTTAATATGGGAATCGTTCATTTTCTGACTTGTTAAGAACATCACTTTGTTTGGTCTTCGAGTTGTTTATACTCGCCCAGCCGGACCATCGCCGACAATCACGAGTTTTAAGAGTTGTTTATACTCGCCTAGCCGGACTTTCGCCGACAATCACGAGTTTTAAGAGTTGTTTATACTCGCCTAGCCGGACTTTCGCCGACAATCACGAGTTTTAAGAGTTGTTTATACTC